ATTCTCCCTTAATCTATGGCCCTGTAGAGTTCCCTATGACTAAATGAAGGAAGAAAAAAATTTAGACCTGGTTTACATATGGTTCCATATAATTTGCTCACATTACCCCTACGCAGAAGTGGAACTCTAGGACAGCATAAAAGGGAAATCTTTAGTAGGTAGAGCTTCAAGCAATATGTCTGGTTGTTCACTATGCCTGAAGAGAGAAGACCACAGGTACAATCTATGATTCGCCTAAATGGTCTTTTGTGACCAGTACTTGCTTGATAGGCTCAAGAACATAATGGCCCTGTCAGCAGGAATAGAATTGTACCCCAGCTCAATACAGACTTCCCCTCATCAATGCTGACCTACAATTCTGTGATGTGCCAGACTGTCTCTCATCTCACTCATTTTCTTCAGGTACCCTTATTTCTGGCATGCCTTTCAATTACCCTCTATCCTAATCACCCTACTTTTCTTTTAATCCTCAGATCAACAGTTGCCTTCTCTATTAAAGCAGCAGTTCTCAATCTGTAGGCCATGACCCCTTTGTAACAATGAAAATACATCCTGCATATCAGATATTTACATTACAATTCATAACAGTAGCAAAATTACAGTTATGAAGTAGCAACAAAAATAATTTTAAGGTTGGGGGTCACCACAACATGAGGAACTGTATTAAAGGGTAGTGGCATTAGGAAGGTTGAGAACCACTGCTATAAAGCCTTTCCATAGCATACAACCCTGTATCAATTCAAAGCCTTCTCTTTCACCCTCAACAAGTTCATAACCTAGGGTCTATAAGCCTCCAGGGATCTGTAATAGAATTCATAAACTGATGGGAAGAGAATTATTTTTACCAACCTCTAAAATCTATGATTTAGATTATACATGCAGACAAAAAAATAAAACCACCATAGTATTTTCTGTGATACAGTTACTAATAGAAATCATAGGTTTTTTAATACTAAATTACATTTGTCACAAATATTAAATAACATTTATGCTTATTACTACTTCATGCCTCTTTTCTCTAGTCAGAGAGCTTCTGCCCCATCCTACCCAAGATAAAAATGTTTCCAATCTCAACTATCTAGATATTTAGCGAGACATTTTTTTTGGTATTTCTATGGGTGTGCTTTTGGATGAGATTAATATTTAAAATGCTTAGACTGAGTAAAATAAATTGTCCTCCCTAATGTGGCTGAGCCTCAAAGAATCAGTTGAAGGATTGACTAGACCAAAAAAGCTAACTCTCTCCTAAATAAGAGAGTTAGTTTCTCCAGCCCACCTGCATTCAAACGAGGACATCTGGATTTTCCTGCTTTCAGTCTCAAACTGAAATATCAGCTCTTCCTGGGTCTCAAGCTTTCAGGCCTTGAGGTGGAATGGTATAACCTGGCTCTCAGGCCTTCAATCTCTAACTGCAATGACACCATCAGCTGTCCTGAGTCTTCAGCTTGCCAACCACCCTGCAGATCTTAGACTTGTCCAACTTCTTAACTGTGTAAGCCAATTCCTTACAATAAGCCTTATTTTAAAAATCACACACATACCCTATTGATTCTATTTTTCTGTATTCTGAGGAATACAGTTCCTGACTCTGAAATCTAAAGATGTGTAGAATTCATCTCTTATACCTTTTAGAACAAGAACTCAAGATCAACTCAGATCAACATCTGAGAAGGCAGCTGTTGACCTGGAATTGAAATGTGGATGGGAATGCCTAGCCCTTATATCAGGTATTTTGTTACCATGCCTTCTTCAGTAGAACATGGGCATATAAGTGAGACTGGTGGCTAGGTAGACACCCAACCAGAGAAGAAATGTTAATCCTTCTTCTTAATGGCATGTAAAACAGAGAATGACTCTTTTAGAACTTTACTTGGCTTTAGAGAAGGAAAACAACCCCTTCCTTTCTCCTAAGGGAGCAAAGTATAATTGATTTCTTTCCATTAATACTGCTCTTCCAAAGAGAACGGCTCCTCTTCTACCTCTTAAGCCTCTTATAAATTAATGGGATGGGCAGAGCTTTAATGGTAACTAGTTCCAACAACCCGTAGTACTTAATACCTTCTGTTCTCAGAAATATGTATGCAGGTTTCTTAATACTATCACCAACCATAACTTCTCTATGGCAGGGATTCATAATTGTGTTTGCATTTTCAACTCTTTTTTTTTTT